TGCATATGCAAATTTTGTGTTTGGACCAATCAAATCAATGGATTAACACCATCAATATACTGGTATAATATAATATATATTACACTATTAGGATATTGAAATGTTATGTTGGTATAGCACTGTCACTGTCTGTTGCTGCCTAATAATGCCAGAATGCATATGGGTATATTGGTATGGATTGTGATATGTTGTCATTGTAAGAGCAACCTTTTAATAACTGTTCTGTTTTGTTATAGCTATTGCCAGTAGGCGGAGCAATTGGAGAACTTTCCTTGTGAACAGTTTAACAGGGGCCAAAACATTACCCTCAGATTTTCAGGATAAGGTGAGTGTTTCAATCATCCTTGGTCAGTGACTTTTATTCTTTGATGTGTAATGCTGTATACCTTTGTATTGTAGTTATTTGCTCTCACAAATGAAGCAAAATTGTAAAAAACTTTTGTATTATGATTGAATGATAGTAATCTCTTTGCATCAAATGTCGTTTCTATTGACTTTTTAAAGAGTTTAACAGTATAAGACATAAATGACTGGAAGATGACCGTAATTTGAGCAATTTGTAATATACCAGTAGTGTCTAAAATGTTAGCTAAAATTGCTTGTGCAGAAGCCCAACAGAAAATTGTCGTTGTAATATATTTTCACTGTGGCTATTTTTATTCTCCTTGATACAGGGACTTTGTCTGTCACAGCCCTACAATAGTGTTTAATGTTTGGAACTGCATTACAAATCTGTATGATCTAATCTTTCGTCGAATGGCAATTAAATGTTTTATTCCGGCATTCCATCCAAAATTGTGTCTTATTTATTAGTGCATGCATCTCAGCCAGTTGCTTTCACCTTTTCAATGGAGTTTGTAGTGCACTTGCCCTGAGTGTGCATTACATCTGTTTTGGTGTTGATCCCAGTCCGAAAACGGGGACTTATGTTTTGACCTCCGTGTGTCCGTGCGTGTGTGCGTCCGGACCTGTATCTTAGAAATGCCTGGACCAATCACAATCAAACTTCACACATACATGATATTATACATATGCACGTCAATTTGTTTCTCGATCTGATTCAAGATGGCCGAATTGCGGCCATTTTTGTGTTAAAAGTCATCAAAATCATCAGGCATTTTTTGGCTGTTTACAGATAAATTTTGTTCAAACTTGGTATATATGTTGGACATTATAGGACCTTAATGCACATCATTTTGTTTCAGATAAGATTCAAAATGGGATATTGTTTTAATAAATGTGGTTCTAGTGCCATATGTCTGACTTGCTGTGACTGATTATGTTCAAATTTTATATATTCATTATACATGTATTCAAAATGGCTGATTTTGTTTTAATTAATGCTGTTCCAAAGCAATATTGGCGATCCCCTCCGCTAGGATTGCCCTTATAATCACTTTTGTCGTTTTGTATGTGTGTCTGTG